TGTATACATGCATCATCGGTCCAAAAGTATTTGGGCATGACAGAGTTAGGTATTTGTTGTCTTTAGTTTAGTTTAGTTTTCTTTTCATCAATTCCTTTTGCAAGATGAAGTGTTGGTAAAGAGGAAAGTCTCAATACATTGTGTGCATGGGCTCCTGAGAAATTATAAATTTTTCTTTCACTGTTCAAATTATTTTGACTATTAAAACTGTTGGTACTCCACAATGGCAACAGTTCCTAAAATGTATTGATTTTCCTCTTAAATTTAATCCAAAGGTTTACACTTTAGCCACATTTCACATTTGTTGATGGTTTTATTTCAAATCCAGTGTGGTGTGTAGAAATTATACAGTCTGTCATTGTCCAAATACCTCTTGCGCTTACTGCAACTGTAGTTTTATACCCTTTAAGTGAAATCTGTAATTCAGAGGAAAGTAGTCCCTTTGAAACTTGCTCCTGCTAGCTTAGGTTGTCCACATCACTTGTATTTCTCCATGGCTTTTATAGTAAGAATGCTCCGACATGCCCGCCGCCCCCCTTGGATGGCCTTGTCAGCACAGCTAACAAGGCTGTCAGCCACAGCGGATGACATGTTCTCATCACACTAACTCCAAAATCCCTCCCGTATGAGAGGCTGAGCTACTTAACGCTGGCTAATTTCACCATGATAGGAAGTTGAACCAGCCCTCAAATGGAAGTCCCCACACAGACTCTGTTGGTCCCGTTTTGCAACGGTTATCAGATTCTGTCATGTGGGCATTTTTTTTTTAATACTTGATGTCAAAAAGTTCACGCTGATCACAAAAAACAGGATATTAATAAAAGTCCGCTGTGCGTCATTAGTATTCCACCCATGTCGTTAAAGCTCATCTACAAACAAAGAAGAGTTGACAAATTTTTTGTATGAACCGTAGTTGCTAGTAGTCAAACCCTTCAAGCAGGTTTCTGGAAGAACCAGTACAGTGCACGGAGTGTATTTGCTCTGCTAGTACAGTGGGAAAAGTCAACAAACAGTAAGATTGTTGAATGTACGAGAGTTCGGTTTAGCTAACTTCTTCGTCAAATGTGGCATGTCAGTGAATTGCAGCCACGTGTGTGGCCAGCATGAGGAGGATGTTCAAATTAAAATGTGGCAAGCTTATTAAATAAGCATCTGCTCTCCCTCGAAGCCAGCAATGCTTCTGCAGTTGTCATTGGTGATCCACTTCGAGCCTCGCTTTGTTCAACCTGATGTAGACGAGCTGGTAGATGGATCAGTCCCATGGGCTACCACTGCTAGTTTTAACAAGCTGATAGGCAAATCCCTTCCTGGTTAAAGATTAACCACTCGCCAAAGCTGCCACTGCATTATCTCCCCACTGGCCAGGCACACAGGAGCCAAGAGGATTTATTTTGTGAGTATGTCCATGTGAGTGACTGAGTTACTGAGTGAGAGAGTGAGAGAGAGAGAGACAGAGAGAGATCCAAATTCAAACCACTAAAAGGTGGAACTGGGTGTTTATTTGGCGATGGGGGTGAGTGATCAGGTTTTCTCTGTGGGGTGTTCATTCTGTGCGTTTACTGTGTGCCATTTATCCGTCAATCTGTTCAGAGCCCGTGTGTGTACGTTTGCGGTTTGTTGTAATCGGCATTCCGTTTTCCAGACCTTTTGTTTTATTTTCCCTGGGGGCGAAACAGCACGAGGAAGCTCCGTGTGTATAACAGATTCCTTTTAACAACCGGGTTGTTAGTGCAACTGTTGAACTATGGTGCCTTTGCCAAAACATATTGTGCATTCGCATCTCCTAAGAGTTTCATGCAAAACGGTGTTATCAGTAAATCAGTTTCTCCCCTCCTCTCTCGCATGTGATTGGATTTAAAAGACAAGGTTGGGACCTGTGCCATTTAACCAACTAACTGGGAGATGACGCCATCTACTGGATATTTCTCGAGCCGCCAATCGCCTTGTAAAATTGACCTGGAGGCTGGCTCACTGAGTGTCATAATCCTCTTTAGTACAAATGCCTTTTCTCACACACTGTTGTCTTGCTAAACAAATCTCATGTTCGATCTTTCTTTTCCCTTTACATCCTTTTGTACAGAAAACCTCCAGTGTTCGCGTTCTTGCAGCGCACTCAAAAACTACTCCTGATATTGGAGGAGAAACTGTGAAATGTCCCAAATTTCTTAAGCTAGATCATGAAGCACAAATCAGTCAAATTCATGAAGTAGTGTGTCACACTGAAATTGTTTGACTTTCATGATGCCGTTGTGACAGGTTGCACCTAATTTACCTGACACAATCTGGGTCAGATCTCTGATGGTGGTTGCCTCATGATAAGGGTGAGCTGAGGTGTGTGATGATGGGAGGGATAGTGCACCAGCATGTCCTGGAGAACAGAACAGTGCTTTGTCACAGGGTGGCCTTTGGCTCTTTGCTCACGACCGTGTCGCTGTCCCCCCAAGGTAATCCCTTTCCGCTGTCGTCTCTCTGGTCTGCCTGCTCCCTCGCTCTTCCGAGAAAAGAGAAGTGGCAGCTGGAAGCCACTAAAAAATATGACCCGTTCACACCCCTGCAGTGAGAGCAGGACAGACAGAGCGGAAGCCGTGTTTTTACTTATCCAATACACTCCGCTGCTCTCACCCTGATAGCCCCTGGTCGAACATAAATATGCCATCCTCAGTTTGGTGTGGGCAAGTTCCTTTTTTTTGTGTGTGTGTTTCCGTTGTTGTTGCCAATGACAAAATAGCGATGGCAAACCAAGTATGCCTATAAAGTAAATTGAGCTTAGCTCATTGTGGGCAATGTTCCCAACACCATGGTTCCTTGATGCTCGAGGGCTTGTCACAGGCCACAACATGTCTTTCCATCTCAAGGAGGGAAGGGGAATTTACCAAACCTTTGTGTTTCCAATTGCGTCAATCCACGCACACACGCATTTAGCTCATGCACACACGCCAAAGGGGTCAGGCGTGGCGAACGGCTGAGCATGTCTCCCCCTCCCCCAGCTCGCCTTGGCAAGCCATGCATGCCTGTGTCTGTTATCTACAAATGGTTAAGGAATTATAGGTTGAGAGGGGTGGAGGAGGGAGAGTGTGAAGGAGGAAGGTTTGTGTGTGTGTTCGGGGGGTGAGGTCATGTGACATCGCAGCAGCTGCTAGGCTAAGAATTTCTGTTTTCCCACTCAGAGGGAGAGAGCAAGAACACGGAGGGGAGAGATAGGCAGCGCGTGTGGTGTGTTGCTTTGTTAGATAAGCTCCAAACGGTCTTTGTGAGAGGCAGCGCCAGAGACAGCAACGCAGGCGGGGAGGGAGAGCGGGCGAACAGGCAGGCGAGAGGAGATAGATAGACGTGAGGGAGCAAGAGACACGAGCAGGAAGATGGTGTGCGTCGTCTCAGCGGCCGCCGGTGCGCGCTGGTGTGGGCTGAATGTGAAGATGCAGACATGGGGGATCCAGGAGCTTCCACTCTTTTGTGCAGTAAGAAGCTACAACCTCACAGTCTGCTTGTCTGTTTGTTGGGGGGGAAGGGGGGGGTGATGAGTGGAGGTGACAGGAACCGCGGCCAGACCTCCGGATGTGTGGCTCTGTGTTTGTTTGTCAAGCTTTATGCTCATCTGTCTCCTTTCACCATGTGGCTTGATGTGTGCGGTCCCCACACAGCCTTCTGTCTTGATTGCGTCGATTTCTGTACGTTTCTTAAATGGTCAGTCAGGCTTTCGTTTACACTTTTAGCTGACTTCTCCTGCCTTTATGGAATTTCTCTGCCAGACAGGGGCTTCACTAAGTAGTATTACAGGACCGGGCAATCTGTGTGTTTGCTCGTTTGCCCCGATCCCAATGGTGCAGTGTGTATTGTTCAGCCAGTAGTCATTCTTGACTCCATTATTAATTGTGCATCGGGTTCACACGGAGTGCACTAGGTGACTGGGGGGTTACAGCCAGGACTATCTGTGAGCTCTTGGGAATGTTGGTTTCTCTCTCTCTCTCTCTCTCTCTCTCTCGCTCTCTCTCGCTCTCTCTCGCTCTCTGTCTCTCGTTCTCTCTCATATATGAATCCACTGCTGCGTGTGTGTCAGTGTGTATGTGTCAGACACATGCAGGGTGCTGTGCTGCTTGGCTCCGGAGGGGACACAATCTATTTATAGCCCCCTCAGCCTCAAGAGTAAACTCGGATATAAATCCCATTTATACAATTGAGTTATTGACATTTGTTTTCCATGTCAGCGGGTCATTTTTTTGTGCTACTTTCAGTACACTGTTATGAAATATAGACTATCCTCTGAACTACCCTTCTTGTGTGTGTGTGTGTGTGTGTGTGTGTTTTGCCGGAGCATGTAAGGCTATCACACGCCCTTCTGGCATTTAGGGATTCCACTGACTGAGGGGCTGTCAACGCGGTGTCACCTTTCAACACACACATACAAGCACTCACAGGAAGGGAAGGAACCACCTCCCACCCCTTCTTCCCTTCCAACTGTCTTGCATGGGAAATCAACCTTTTATGCTTTGCTCCTGGAGGAAGTCCCATAAACACGTGAACTGTGATAACATGCACGGTTAACACGCAAGGTAACGCAATCGCTTTGATTGTGTCGGAGCATACGCTGTTCCAACATTGTGTATTGTCTCACCTTTGACCTCAAGCAGACACACAGCCAGACTTTTAGTTCTTGGCTGTGGAAGGTCGACCTGCCCTCGTAACCTCCCACCCCTGACCCCAAGCCATACAATGAATGGCCCACTGCCCCTTACGCCACCAATCCCCATCCGCTCCAGCTGTCACCGAAACTCAGCACCGCACTGTCACCGCAAGAGAACAGCTTTATGTGTTGTTCTTTTTTTTCCCCATCCATTTTGTCTGGCTCATTTACATAGCCGGCGTTCAATATGCATTCATTTCACTAATGTAAGAACATGTGAATGAGTAAACTTCACTCATCATCTTAACATAAACTTTTTTGAAAATTCTCGAAATTATCTATCTATTAAAATTGCTCCATCCCTTTTGTTTGTTTGCAGGTATGAGCCATGAGCCAAAGTCACCATCCTTAGGAATGATCTCCACGGCAACCCGTACAACGGCGACGGTCAGCCCTCTCACCCCGTCGCCTCTTAACGGCTCCATCGTAGCCAATGGAAGCCCAGCTGCCCAGTCGGCTCATTCTGGATTCGCTGCAGCCCTCCGAAAACTGGCAAAACAGGCAGAAGAGCCACGAGGTAAAGTTGTGAGGCCAGCATCAAGCCAGAGGCTCTTTCACAACTTTCTGCTTGCTGTATTTGTGTATGAGAGCCTTTCGTGGGCCATTTGTGCAGCTGAGAGCAATATTGGTGTTGGTAGGCAAGGCGCTGACTTACTTTGTAATTGACGACCCTTCAGAAACTGGGATGAAGAGGCGCTACTCAGTAGCGGCTACTGTCACTCACCTACTTAATGCACTCTCACTGTGTCCAAATACGTTTGTGTCTGCAACATTGTGGCCGATTCCTTTATTTTTGCTGTAGTCTGATAACACTACGAGACGAGAGAACAGAAATTTACATCTGAATCAGATTCCAATCAATTTATGAAATTGCATAAACAAAACACCTAATCCTCAAAGGGAAAGTATTCAAATAGATGAATTTAAAGTCAATTGCACACCCTTTCCCTGCAAAAACTCCATCGAGCCTGTGACCTACACGTTTGCATTCTTCTTGTATAATTTTCCTCGCTTCCACCGCAGTCTCTTTCAATGGCTTTTGTTCGAGGAATGAATACTCTGTAATGTTCGAGTCTGGGGAATTGACAGTTTAAAACCGTCTACGTGCCTGTGATGCACTCCTTGTTGTTTTTGCAATGTGTTTTGGGTCATGACCACACTGAACACTGGAGGATCTCCCAATCAGTTTGGTTGACATCTGGGTTTAAATTGGCGTGTAAAATGTAATAAAACTTAATTTTGCTGCTGCCATCATGTTGTTCATCAGTGAAGGTGAATGAACCCATCCTATAAAAAGCCATGCGAGTCCAAACTATGACATGACCTCTGATGAGTATTACAGATGAGCTTATAAATTGTTTGCATCATCTAGTGTCGCATTTGAACTTGACTCTTTCCCTCTGAACATTGTTGCTGAAGTAACTAACAGTTTTCTAACGGTCTTTCTTCAAAATGCATCATCAACAGCAGTTATCTAACCATTAAACGTCTGTTGCTTATTTTACTGAAGGTTTATTTCTTCTACAGGACATTTAAAATGGTTCAATTGGCTCTGGCCGATGTTTGCGCAATGGCGCTGATTGAAAATGAAAACAAATAAATCCTAAAAATTCTCCAAAAAATGATGATTAACTTTAAATACACGAAAAAAAACTCTGACCACTAGTGTTGAAATATATACTGTATTCAAAATTGATCCGTTATATATATATATATAATTTTTTTTTTTCAGAAATCTATACAGTCCACATTTGGCTCTGTTAATTTTTCAAAATATTGACCCATCTAAAGTGTTGCAAATTGCTTGCTGTCTTGCGATGTTAAAGGCTCAACAAATCTTGCCATTTTTTGTGTTTACTGAAATGTGACGACTTCGAGGATTCTGGCCAATGCCAGTAATAAACAGTTTGTAATGGAAGAAGCGAAACTTACAGAAACTCACTCAGTCAGTGGCTCATAATATCCAAGGTTGAGAGCAACTAGGGACATTCGGCTTGGTTCTTGACAGTGATGCGAGGCTTTGGTCTTCAACAAAAGTAAGAAAGATATTTATTAACTTATAATAATTGTAAAGGCATTATCAGGACATGGAGGTGTATACTGAGTTCCATATCAAGTCTAAGTCATCATCAAATGTGGAAATTAACATGCTCGGACATTGGATAGTGACAGTATCAATCAATGTTGGTGTGGTGAAACTGTACCATGGTAAATTACAATTATGAAACAGCACATTGCAATATCAATATTTTGTCTCAACCTTATTCCTAACCTCCACCCATTAGAACTTACTTTGCCCTGTGACCACTTGGTGACTTTCGTGCTTCCCATCTGGAGTTTATCGAGGCCTGTATATTAATATAAAAGTGTGTGTGTGTGTGTGTGTGTGTGTGTGTGTGTGTGTGTGTGTGTGTGCGTGTGCGTGTGTGTGTGCGTGTGTGTGTGCGCTCGCGCTCATATCTACCTTTTGTAGAGACCCAGCTCGTCCAGTTGTTCACCCGTGTTCTGGCTCTTAAATCAGCACCATGGCTGTCCCCAGACACGTTGCTCCCCTGCAACTGATTTATTAAGTGCAGATAGAGAGAGGACTCGACTCTCATCACCTCCCTCGTGATCCTTCTCCCCTTCATCTCATTTTACGCCCTCAACCTTGTATGCGCGCTCTGTTGTTTTCTACTTCTATCTCTCTCCAAAAGAAACATTTCCTTTCAGGAGCCATTCTTGCCACCTATTTTTTTATTTTTTTATTTTTTGTCTGGGGCTCGCTTTTTTTATTCTTATCACTCTGTCTTGCTTTTTAATATTTTTCCCATCCCCCTGCAAGATGAGAGTATGCGAACGCCAAGTCAAAGGGTTCTATTCTTTGTCTTTATTGAAGAAAAGGTCACCAGATAATTGCTGATAAATCCCAAGCCCCGTTTTTATTAAAATCACAAAAAAAGCCAGTTTGCTATTTTTGTGGCCTGCTGACTGTGCTGTCTGTCTAGTCAAGGATGTGATGTATATGCGAGTCAGCCGTCGGGGCATTAGGGGCAACCCCACTTGTGTTCCGAGCCAAGACCCTGGGGTGGGGAGAGCCGTGTCAGCCCTAGAACTCCAGCCACATCATTTCTTGGCCTTTATTCATAGGTAACACACCCCAACAGCCCCACGCATGCAAGTAGATGTCTTTGCAACCTTGTAAGCAAGCTGCAGCCTGCCATCTTTCATGAGCCGCCTTGACTCAATCTCTCACACCGTGATTAGATGAGTTGTGCAGCATACTGTGTTCGGGATAGCATGACTCACCGTCCTATGGCCTGGAGGAATTAGCTTGGTTTTAGTGCTGCTACCACCACCACCGGCAGCTACCGAACTCTTTTAAGTCCCTGAGCACTGTCGCTGTTTATATGCACACGTGCAAACCCAGACACACGTTTTTTCACTTGGCTGCGGCAAGTGTAATGAATAGTTCCGTGGAATGAGTGCTGTGCTGAAGAGGGGAGGTGATGGATAATGAGCTTCAGAGTGGCACAAAACACACACACACACACACACACACACACACACACACACACACACACACACACACACACACACAAAGCCCTGATAACATGCCTCAAAAAGCCCATCCCGCTGATAAGTGATTAATTAGGCAGATCTGGGTTTAATCCTCGCAGTTGTTTCCTCTCACGCGCTTCGAGACACATCATCAGAATTTCATCACTGGCTTCACACCAACTGTTGTACCCCGCTTGCAAATACAGTGACTACAGAGAGGGAGAGAACAAAGGTGCACGAGATAGTGAAGTACATTGGCAAGACAATAAAGATTTGAAAGTAATGAGCAGATTTCTGCAAACGTGAAGATTTTGGACATGTCTGGAAAGACGTGTGCTTGTGCGCATGTGTCCTGAGGCTCTCTGTTTCTCGGACCGTGTTGGGACAGTGAGGCAGAGTGTCTGTGACCTCTCCATCTGGAACCTGCCTGGAGCTTGTGCTGCCTGGCTGTGCGGCGCATGCATCTTCAAGGCAAAAGCCTCAGGGCAGCGACTGGCACTGACACACTCACAAACAAGCCCATTTGACACCACACCACCACCCACCGTTCTCCATATAACATAACTGGATTTCTTGTGGGACACTCGTCAGTTGCTGCATTTAAGCGCAGTGTACAGTCAACGGGAGAAAGTATATCCCCTTTTCGTCTCTGTTTTCTTTTGCCATCCTTTCCCTCTTTGGCGTGGCATGCATCACCATGCCCGATGGAACCTGTTTTTTGTTATTTGTTTGTTTTTCAAGAGGGCGGTGAGGTCAATAGATGAAGGAACAAACTTCAGCCTATGACAACAGCTTGGCCTGTTGTCAGTCGTAAATCTGTGCGCGAATGTGTGGCTTCGCTTGAGCGGTCAAGTGCAGAGGCAGCCTCGGAGAGGGGAGACTTGTAATAGGGGACCCAATCCAGAAAGGAGCTCCACATAAATCAAACAGATTCGCTCTCAATGCTCACGTTGTCGCATCACTTTGGTGGCCTCTCTAGCTTGGTTCCTCTTTTTTTGAAACAATATCATTTTTGCATGTAGATCGAAAGTATTGAGGAGAGTGTCTTGATCCAAATCGATAAACATCTTCACAATAAACGACATATAAAACTAAATAATGTACCTATTGCTTGCTGGAGTCGTGCCATAGACAAGGTCTGCTTAACTTTGCGTCACTGATGTGTTGTTCTTCAGACCTCAAACTAATTAACAACACCTCTAGTGGTTGCAGCGAAGTAGTGAACTCCATTTTTGCCATAACCACTTTCAGACGTGATTGCTCAATGATTGATTTTTTATGTCCATCTTTATCTGGCCCTCGTCTTAAATTATATTTTGTTGAAATAGCTATGATGTTGTATGTACTAGCTTCACATTTGAGAACGGCACTGGTGAATCATCAATAGTTTTGTGTTAATATTTTTGTTGTCATCTCGCTGTCTTTTTCCCCACTCACCTGTTTGTCTCGCTGCTTTTCCTGTTCACTTAATTATTTAGGCTGCTCTGCCTCTTCTCCACTCTTTTCTGCTTTTAACACAGGAAAGGAGGAGATGAGAGGTGGGCTTTGAGGAGAGACGGGCGGGTGAAATAAATGGTGTGGAGGTCTGTTGCTTAGCAGTACAGTCTCTCTGCGATCACCGCTCCCTTCCTTTCTTCTCTGCTTCTTCTCTCGTTCAAGCTTCATTTGTTCTCCCATACTTACGTAGGATAGTGTGTGCGTGCGCACGTGCGTATGCGTGCGTGTGTGTGGTCAGTGAATAGGCCGTGACACAAGAGCTGTATTAAGCGTACCTCCGTTCCCCAGGCTGAGTGGGCAACTATTGATTGGCCAAGTCTTGCAAGGGAAAGTAATGGCTCGCTGAGGTGAGAGGGGAGGATTAAGCTACTAATTGCCTTTATGTAGACAAGATATGCTCCCCATCACCCCCGCCCTCAACAATACTCACACTATTTTCCTTTCTGTTCCACCTCTTGCCTCACCTCACACCTCTTTTGCACACTCACTTTATTTTTTTTTAACCCCGAGTCGCCACCTATCTCATTTTTCATTTTCATGTCTCACCTCACCACTCTTGCTACCATAGATTTTCAGTTTTCTAGAGCGTAGTCTTACTGCCATTATTGATTCCTTCCATTATTCAGTGGTATGAGTCAGAATGAGATGTTTAAAATCAGTCAATGTCCTGACCGCGCCCACAATGGGAAGATGTTGTCTGTTCAGTTACCACGGTAACCGTCGCTAGGAAGAGTTGGTGATATGGAAGAGACCTGTGGTTTTTGTTCTGATGGTGTGAAGGGTGGGGAGGAAGTAGACTTGAAACTCAAAAAGAGCCTGCGGTTTCAACTGCTTCCTTTTGTGCGGCTGCGTGCGAGATTGTAGACGCTCCAACTACCTGCTTGCCAAAGATGCTCTTTTGTCTCCTCTTCTTCCTCCCAAAGTGTGTGCCTCAGTGAGATGGTTGTGACCCAGTTTGACTGCGTAATGTTGCGTTTTTGATGAGTGTGGGAGACTCGCTGGACAAGATTATGGAAGAAAGGAAAAGGGTATTGGGCACTCTTTTAAGAAATCATAGTCATCGGCCTCCAGGCTGATACAGTAAATATGTGTGCTCTTGAAACTGAAACTGCTGTGATGTGTGAATGTGAGCATATCATTTGGGAGTATTGTGACTACAAAGAGAGAAAGTGAGAAGTGAGGAAAGCGAGGCACGCGACCAGACTGTGACCCTTTGCTATAGGCAGTCACAGGAGGGTTTTGTTAATGTGATGCAAGCCTCAGCAGAGAAGCTCCTTGGGCCAGCTTCTCGCCACCTGCTGTGTGTGTGTGT